AAAAAAAAAAGATAAACTTAAAAAAAAAATTGATTTTGTTGGAAATGAGAACAAGAAAGGAAAATAATAATAATAATAACAAAAAAAACGAGTAACTTGTTTTTTTCCTTTCTTTTTCTAAAAGTTTTATACGATTTTAGAAACGTTTTCTAAAAGATGAAAAACATGAAACTTAAATAGTTGTAAATACTCAARTTAGAAACAAGAATCAAAGAATGATAACGTTACCAAAAAARGCCCTAAACTACTCAGTTCGACTTTATTCTTGCAACCTAATAGGTTTGGTAACTATTCATATTTATCGTTTCTCTAGGGACGTTCCAAAACTGTATACAATTTTTTTTATACAACTATTYCGTGTTTCAATTMTCTTTTTAGTTTTTCAAATACATAAATGAAAACATAATCTTATCCATCTTTTACTTATAAAATGTATAATAAATATAACATATTTTTTTAATTAATTTTCATGTAATTTTTTTTTTCAATTTAATATTTGAGAACAATAATAAAGGACAAGAAATGATACCCAAACAAAATTTTTGTTTCATTTATCAATAATAAAAAAAAAGAACAAAATACAAAAAATAGTTACTAAACATAATCTTATTTTTCTTTTTCATAAAAGAGAGATAAGAATAAAAAAATGAAAAATGAAAATCAAATAAGTCCTCAGAAACCGTAATCACATACAACTTATATGTTATGATTTCTCATAATCCTGTAAAATTATCATTGATATGATCTCTCTTCTTCAGGTAAGCTTTGTCATTAAACGCCATTATTTTTTTTTCCTGTGGGATTATTTTGCAGGGTCTAAAGAACTTGTTCGTAGGTCGTCTGATGAGGCAATATCAGCCGTTGGTGGTGACTAGCTAATAACGAGCAAGGATGGAAATTGGACATTTTCCATGTACTTYATCTTATATTTACAACCAAATAAAAATGTATTTCTATGTTACTCAAAAATATTAAAGAACAGGAGCCCTTATGGCCCATATGACTATGTTTGTTGCTCATTAAATATAATTTGAATATACATTTCTGATAATCCAATGCTTAATTTGAAACCCTAAGTTATTCAGAGTCTGTTTGGTAACGTTCTCATTTGTTGTTTCCGTTTTCTATTTCTCGTTTTCAATGTTTTTCGAACTAGAAATGGAATATGTTYTAGGAGGTTTTATAAATGGAACCATTTCTTCGCCTCTTGAAGTTCTTGATAATCTCCACCACCAATCAAACCCAGAATTATCAACTTGGCAGCAATACAATCGTATTGTGATGTCTTGGTTAAATTCTTCTCTCACATGAGAAAAAATTAGAGAAATTATATCCTTCTCCACTGCTCATAATATTTGGGGAATCTTTGCGCCGTGTCTACGAATCAACCTCAGCATCTTGCCTTCTCGACTTAAAGCTACAAATCCAAAATATCATGAAGGATGGGTTATCGGTTCCACAATTTTTGGCCAAGATCAAAGAGGTCGCTGACAAGCTCTCCTCAATTGGTGAGCCCGTTTCTCTCAATGACCATATATATCATATATTTTGAAAGGTCTTGGTTCTGAGTACAATGCCTTTGTTACCTCGATTGAGCATCGTGTGGCGTTTCCCATCTTCTTAGGTACGAGTTGTTGGGTAAATATACGTTGTATGTGTAAACTGAAGACAATTATTCGCTCTGCACAAATTGCTAGCAAACTACAGCGATTGTTTCAGCAGGATACTGTTGGGAAAAAATTCCCTACTTCTACCACAGGAATAAGCAGAAAATAACTGAGAAATTTAAAGAAAGCAATAAAATAAAGAAACACAAGAATTAATGTGGAAAAACTCCAAACCGGAGAAAAAACCACGGCCCACAAAGAAAAATCCACTATGTGAAAAATTATTACAATCACACAGAGTTCTCTCCCCGACCCCAATTACACAAAACACTCTTTCAAAGCAAATACCGCTCAGTTAACTAGAGCTAGTATATCAGGCTTAAAGTATTTCAATTGGGATGATTAAAACCCAAGACCATGAGCTCCTTTTATAGTAGTTGAAACACATCTCCTCCTTGTACTTTTCCGATGTGAGACAACTTCTAGCACATGGAGACCATCCTTGTATTCTTCCAATGTGGGACAACTTTAATTCCAATATTTTGCCAAAACCCAACAAATTCCACCTTGGCAAGATATTGAAAAAAGTTCACAGCTTCTACTGCACCCATTGTCTTGACCGACAATCATAATTCTCAATTCAGAGAACTATAGCCTACTCCACCATAAAAGTAGATCACTTGGAATGTCGCCTTCCAAGAGTTTTCTTCCTCGTCACATGTCGATAAATCCTGCTGAGATTTATGGTGCAACTTCCACCTACTTGGCTCACTTGGAAGTTTTTCAGCCATCGACATAACTTCCACCACACACACCTTGCATAACCGGCAAGTCAATGCCCATGTGTAAACTTGTGGAACCGTTAACATCACATCCTCTATCATGGTAAAGGAGACATACCATGAGGATGAATTCTCTCTCTCTTCAAAGGATATGATCATCGTCTCCCCTGATGAGAGAAACATTGTCAGCATCCCGCCCAAAGCCCTTTGACGAACCGGCTCTGTTGGGACAATCTTTCTTCATGTGTCCAGACTGTCCSCATCCCCAGCAACAAGCTTTCTTTTGTACGGAGTCTTTCTTYTTCTTYCAATTGCKAGCTACCAGTRCCGAATCTTCATGTGAARTACGCCCTTCACTCTTCARCCTTCTTTCCTCTRACAAGAGTTTACTAGTAACCTCAGCAAAATTCAAAGTATCCTTCCCATACATCAAGATCGGCTTCATGTGTTCATAAGAAGGTGGAAGTGATAAGATGAGCCTGAGTGCTTTATCTTCGTCATCTATCTTCACTTCGATCGCCTCTAGCTCAAAGATGATGCTATTGAGATTACTCAGRTGATCTGAAATTTTCATACCTTCCTCCATTTGCAGCGTGTGAAACTGCTCCTTCAGGTACAGCCGATTTGAGATGCCCTTTGCCTGATACAACGCTTCGAGCTTCTCCCAAAGTTCTTTGGCTGTCGAAATTCCATGCACATTCGCAAGAATATTCTTAGCCAAACTTGTTTGTATCGCGCTTGCAGCTCTCAAATCCATTTCCTCCCAATCTTCATCACTCATGCTAGACTTCTTAGAACCTCTGCTGGAACCACCACTGGACTCCATTGGACCACCATCACCGCTTAGTTTTTCCGAAGCACCTTCACTCGGTCTTCCCTTCAACGCCTTGTGTAACCCAGATTGTATCAGCACATCCTTGACTTGCACTTGCCACAAGTCAAAGTTGATCCTTCCGTCAAATTTCTCCACGTCAATCTTCACTGGACTCATAAAGAATGACACATCTGCTTCACACTCCTAGCAAATCTACAAATAGTGAACAATCCACACTATTCACAGAACCGTAGCTCGTTTCAAGAAATCTTTTCTGATGTGGAAGTTCAGACAATTCTGCAACCACAGAGCATACTCAGAAATTCTAGAAACTACAAACCTAAAGCTCTGAAACCACTTGTTAGGAAAAAATCCCCTACTTCTACCACAGGAATAAGCAGAAAATAACTGAGAAATTTAAAGAAAGCAATAAAATAAAGAAACAAAACCACAAACATATTCACAACGTATATGTGAATAAGTTTCTTTAAATTACACTTTCTTTCACACTTTTAAATCCAACAATCCCCCACATGAAAGAAAGTGAGACAGACAAGACACGACCAAGACGTTGAAAGCAAATAAATAAGTTATGCATCAGGAGAGGAATCTTTTGGACTTGAATCTTCCTTAGTGAATATCTATCGAATTTACCAAAGAAATAGTGAAAACTAGCTCGGAACTATTCTTCTCATTATAAATTGAGACAACAAATATCAAACATATCTTATTTTCTATCTTTGAGTTCTATACGGTTGTGTCCATTTTGGTCATGGACAAGATCCTGAATTCATGAGAACTTTAGAGAACATAAGCTATTTGAAAAGTTCTCATAGAACCGACCCAAATCTCACATAGGTGCTATTGATTAAGAGTATTCTGCCACTACTTTTCTCGTAATCAATATATCAATATGACCTTAATATCAACAGATTACACACATAACATTATAGAAACGGGAAGAAACTATAAGTTTCTTAGTGTGTCAACTATGAATTATCCAGCCAGTTTGTCTATTGAATCTAGATCTTGGGATCTCCAGTCAACCAGGTTAGGTTACCACCAGATACTTCATTTCATACGTTTTAGCCCCATTTCCCTCGATGTATATGAAGGGATGTGAATCCCGGAGCGGAAGCAGATCTTCGTTGCTGATTTTTGGGACACAAAACCAAAATAGAAAGAAGAAAAAAAACAGGAAAACCAAATACCTTTGAAGAACTTTTCTTCTACGGTTTCCCACGAACACCACCACTACGTCTTCCTCGCTATCCTCTTGGGTCTCGAGATCGTGCTTGTGGTAGCACCTTGATCGAAGAGAGGGAGAGATTGAAAGAGTTCTTGAGAGAATTGGTGGGTTTTTTTTTTCTTGGTTCTGTTCTATAACCTACCATTCTTCACATTCCCCAACTCTTGAAGAAGAAGAAGAAGGGTGACGTGGGGTAACTCCCCACGTCACAAAACCTCTCATTCCCCTGCAATTTTGCAGGGGAGTTTAATATTATTAATATTAATAATATTAATAATATATATATATATATATTTATATATAAATAATTAATATATATATAATAATTAAAATATAAAAATTAATTTATTAATTAATCCTATTAATTAATAAATAATTATTAATCCAATTAATAATTAATATATATATATAAATCAAATAAATAATTAACACTTAATTATTTATCACAAAAATAGAATCATATTCTATAACAGTTCTCTCGTATAACCTATAGTTCTAATGTACATCTTATGCACATTATTTTTAACCTATAGTTTTAATATGAATCTTATTCATATTAATTTTATTTGAATCTCATTTAAATAATTTCTCTCAATATATAGTTTTAATTTATAATTAACTATATATTATAATGTATCAATATACATATAACCCCTTAAGTAATTTGAACAATTCAAATTTTTCCAAAAACTTGATCCTCGTTTTACCCGTTATGAGCTAGCAAGGGGACCTAATGGACCTACAGATCCGAAGCTCCAACGATGCAAGATTAATCGGTCAAACTCATTGACCGAGTTAATCTAGATTCGTTAACTACGGGTCATTCCACTAAAGACCCGCAGTTGTACTCTTCTCACTGCAGAATGTTTTCGTGTCCATGGATATACAACCATTAATGACGAGTCAATCCTTCACGAGTATTCGTAACTCAAGTTGGGTCAAATTACCGTTTTACCCCTGAGTTACATCTTACTCCTTAAACACCACTGCTCCTCTAATGAACAACTCGGTTATGGTCCAACCAATAACCGGAAGTCCCTCTCGTCCAATGAGAGGGTGGGGCCCCTTGTTCAAGTCCCGGAGTCAGCATTTAAGGGAATACTCATCTACTCCCCTAAAGTTGGGGAGGAGTGAATTCCATCTTGTGAAGTTATGTTCCCAGCTCCCCACTTGGTCTCGTCCCTAAAATGATAGGAATGTTGAGTCGGCGACTCGGGCCACTCTCACCTATACAAATCAAAGGACGAGCCCTCACGGGTAGGAGTCCATAACTCACTCAAGATTGAGAATGAGTTGCCTGGTCATCCTAAGAAATAGCAACCTATTAGTTAACGGTGTTACATCTAAAGATTGCCTATTTCGTGGTCCGGTCTTATACAAACTCATTGTATAGGATACCCCTACTCGCATGTCTCCACACGAACGACCTGGATCAAGTCGTCTGTAACCTTTAC